ATTAAAATAGATAACAGTCAACCAAGCTCATCTCAGAATTTAAATCACATAACTTGGAGTTATCGATTGACCCTCCAAAAAAGATGAAGCCTAAAAAGCTCCTTCAAATTTAATAATCAAATTCATTTATTTTTACCGGATACCTCTTTTTCTTTTGAAGGGGAGTTATATGGCGGAATGAACACCATATGAAATTGAAGGACGTCAATTGATGACAATGGCGGAATGAACACCATATGACAGATGTCAGTTGAATAACGTCAATTGATGACAAAACTAAATTATATTGGGCTACGTTGATTCGGATCTGGCATCAAGCAAGCTATAACGATCTGATTGTTTATATACGATCGAATATTATTGTCGCTCTTTTTAAAAAACGATCGAAAATATTGCATCGAGTTTTTTGCCAACGAGAGTTTTCTCGTGATCGAAATTTAGATTTGATTAAATGTAATATAACATCTTTATCAATTGAGACATTAATAAACACTCATTATCGAGTTGAAATAAAATTATTGCGATTTCATTATAAAATTAATTAATTAATAATATATGGCCGACCAGCGCCATAATTACTAAAGAAACTCGTGTTCTTTATACTACGAATATTGTTTATTATGACAATAGTAATAACACTATGTGTGATTAAATTGATCATTTACAAAAACGTAGATGTTATTTCAGTATTTATAATAAAAAGGAAAAAATAAAGAATTACAATTTTGGCATTTCGAACATTGAGCAAACAAAAACGAGATCTGATCTGACACTTGAACTTTTTGTTTTGAGCTGACACTATGATGAGCTTCAAATAATGAACATCTGTCAAGTTAAAATGCGACGTGTGTGACAGGTCGCTACATATATATCTATATATATATAAATCTCGTGTCACGATGTTGGTTCGCGATGGACGCCCAAACTACTGGACCGATTTTAAATTTATTGGCTCACCGTGTGCATATATATCCAACTTAGGTTATAGAAAATTTTGAAAAGTAAATTTAAAATATAAATATATAATTTTTATAAATTTCTAAAATTTTGACAGAAAATGACAAAAAAAAAAACAAAACACTAAAATGACAAATGTCAAAATTTAAGGAAATTTCGATATATAATTTTTGAAAAAAAAATTTGACATTTCAAAAAATAAAATTCAAAAACATGTACATATATAGAAATATCCAACATTTAAATCTAAATTTGATGAAATGCTATATTCAAAATTACTGTTTATAGTTTTAAATCTAATTAAAAATCAATGTTTATAAATTTAAATAAAAGTTGACTTAAAAAACGTGAATTGACATTTGACAATATTTATACAAATTATTAGATAAATAGATTTATAATTATATTTTGATTTGTTACGAAATTAATTCGAATACCAAACTTCCTCAAAACATTATAGATCACAATAAAAAAACGACATATTAAATTTAATATTAATAGTAAACAAAATTTTGACAGTTTAGAAAAATTGAATTTTTAACGACTTCAATAAGAAACAAATACATTAATTATTCCAAGTTTTGTTATAGGAAATATTGTAGATACAAAACATTATTGAAAAATATATTATATCATATTATATTAAATTTCGACCAGGAGGAAATATTTATTTAGTTTATATTTTTTAAATTTCCATAAATTTTGACAGAAATTTACTGAAAAAAAACCAAAACACTAAAATGACAAATGTCAATATTTTGGGAAACTTCGAGAAAAAACAATTTATGATTTCTGAAAAAAAAAATTGACAATTCTAAAATATATTATTTAATACTTATTGAAAAAGGAACAGATATATTGTAATATATCCAACAGTTATATCCAAATTAGGTAAAATGCTATATTAAAAATAATAGAAATATATAATGTTTATAAATTTAAACAAAATTTTGACAGGTCAAAAGAATTAATATTTTTAACGAATTCAAATAAAAAAAATACATTAATTATTCCAACTTATATTACAAATCATATTTAAGATACAGAATAATAAAATTTATCAAATTTAAATAAATTTGGGCGGTTACGAATTTGAAACAAATGCCGAAAATGACGTTTGTTAATATTCTGGGAAATTTATGAATAAATTGATTTATGATTAAGATTTAATTTGCTTAAGTTGTTCATTCAGGTAAACATAAAAAAAATTAATATAAATCATGATTGAAACTAAATATTATATCATATCATATTATATTAAATTTCTAAGTGCCAAAAAATATGAATTTATAGTCGGAAATTATTATGTTTTGTAAGTAAACACAAATTTTAAAAAATGCATTGAAATCGATGACTGTCTAATCATTAATTTATGGAAAATTTTCAAAGAAAATATTAAAGGCTTATAGCAAGCTTCCAACAGTATGTGACCAATAGTATGCGAACCATTTCTAAATAAAGCATCGCAGAACATGTTAAAATGTTAGCTAAAGGTAAATAGGACGTAATACCAAATAAGATATAACAAAATTATAAAAATCGCTTGGTATTCATTATAGATTTTGTAATGTACTCATTATTCAAATGCTTAATTATTTCAGTTTTATTTATTATTTAAGTTTAAAAAAAAACACTAATCAATGGGTTGATCCATCATATTCAAATTTCATCCGGCTTTATTTATATTTTGACTGATATGATTTTTTATAACAAAAGGTTTGAAATTTGGTTGTCAAACGGATTCAAATTTCAATCAGGTGGATTTTAATAAGAGCCGTTGCAACGCAAGGTGGGTATGCTAGTATATATATATATAATTATATGTCGTGATGTGAAGTTTAAGCACGCAAGCTACCACAAACCAGTCGCAACTTCGGCCTGCTCGATATCAAGAAGTATGATATCAAATAATAAAATTAGTTTGTTGGTGCAATGGACCTTCACATGTACTATGTATTATAAATCTTATATTATAAAATAGCATCTAATGAGTAATGATTAAAGTCGTTACCTAACCTCAGTCAGCTCGATATCAAGCAGTATAATATCAAGTTTTTTTTTTCTTTTATATATCTCAAATACAATCTCAAGTAGAAAATGCATTCCGTAGGATGTATTATTATGAGCATTACTATTAGTTGACTTGAATTAGTTTTTTGGGTCAATAAAAAATAACTTGGATAAATCAAGAATATCATGTAGTTAGTATTTCGATTAGTAAACTAATTGTTTTGAATGAAAAGGAAAAATACAAAACTTTATTATAAAAAATTAAAAACTTTACTATAAAGTAACACTAAAAACTTTGCATTTATTACAATTTAAGATTATTTCTTAGTTAAAATCCAATGACTCATTATTAGCGTCATTATTTGATAATACAACCTATCAAAGTCTATCAAACATCCATATTGACAATTAAACATATAATGTTTATTTCCACAATTATTCACATAATCATTTATTATTATTTATATAATCCGTGTTTGATTTTCTTCTGTCAATATTTATTGAATCAGTCACACAATGTTGAAATTCATCATCAATAATTTAAAATTCTCAATAGTTCGACTAATTGTGTAAATAAAATTGATGCCAAGAATGGCATTAAGTAATGCAAAAAATGCATCTGCAAACAAGCAAATACTTGGGTAAATTGTGTTGCAATTTTTTGCATTGTTGGACTTGTGTCAATGATGGAATAACTTGTTATATAATATTTGTAAAAGACAAAAAAGAACAAGACAAATCAATTTGATCTGTAACGCATGAGTAGATTTACTATAGGCTCGGGTAAAAACTGATATCACTATTGCTTGAGGGATGTCACAATAGCCCAAATTTGATTTCAGGTTGCACACAAAATATTTTTATTTTAATCTATTTTTTCCAGACTGGTATCTACGACTGGACCAATACAGAGCAAGGTCTGATCCTAAGTTCGTTCTTTTGGGGTTACGTAATAACGCATTTACCAGGAGGATTACTGGCAGAAAGATTTGGTGGAAAATATACCCTTGGTTTTGGAATTTTGGGCACTGCTGTTTTCACACTTCTGACACCAGTTGTGGTAGAAGAATTTGGTGCCACTGGATTGATCGTTATTCGAGTCATTGAGGGATGGGAGAGGTAAATAGATTGATAATATTTCTATAATGATTTTATAATGTCTCTATAATGATTTTTACATTCAATACCTGTGTATTTTTTGTATAAATCTAGTTTTTTTATAGAGTTTTGTCATGACATTAGTATAGAGTTTTACATAATATACTGCAATGATTGTGATTCTTGCTATATCGGAGTTATTCGATATATTTATGTAAATAAATTTAATATTACCTCCCAACTAATTCCATATAACAAATTAACTCTGTCCTTTCCCAAACCCATTTTAATCTACCCAACAAAAAAAAAATAAAGACGAGTATTTATTCTAAAATCGATTACAGATTATCTTTCACTAGACCATATATCAATTGTTCGATAAGAATTTGAAATATTTGGCTTTGTCATTTTTTATCTGGTGACGTGTGCTTTTATTATCAAGTAAAACAAGTTAAATATCGAACTAATGGAAATATTCAAGTGTTACTTGTATTCTCAGATTATTTCGAAGTTTTTTTCAAGTGGAAACTCTGTTTTTCCCAAATAGTAGGTATTAGAGATTTTATCTCTATGTACATACTTATACTGAAAAAAAAACTTTGAAATGTGGATTATAATAAAAGTAGTTTTATAGTGAAACTATTGTAACTTTTTATCAAATTCACGTCTTCATGATCAAAAAAAATTTTTACATCAAAATCACTGGATCCAAAATTTATATATCTTATATATAAAACTCTTCTATAATGGGGTATGAAATGATAATCCTCCTAAACGATTATTCGGATTTTGATAAATCTGCCTGAAGTTTGTTAAGGGATTTTTTTAGGATTTTTTGAAATGTAGAAATATAGTTAGATTGTAGAAATAAATGAAAAAAAATTGCAAAAAACCGTTTATCATTGATTGATTTAAAAATATTAGATAACCCTTGGCATTAAAATAAATTGAGCTATTGGAAATAAATTTGTTCAATTATTTATTTAAAGCAGTTGTACATTTAAGATCACCCATATGGATCTATGTACATTTTAGTACTGACTGTAGTCCAAAAATATAATAATTTTTAACTATTTGGTAAATCAGTATCGGTTATTAAAAAAATTGAACTTTTCAATTTTAGTCATGGGTACAGGATAACGTCTGTCGGATCATCTAGTATTTTTATAAATTCATTTTCCGTGACTTGAATAACTATCCTTTATATGATATAATAGTAAAATATTTTAACATAGGATTGAATATAAAAGTATTCAAATCTAACTACTAATTTATCCATAAAAAGGCTAGGCTGTACTGATGCCATATTTTGAACCTTGGTACCAAAAATTACAATAAATTCTAAGTCTGATTAATTTACTCCACCTTTACAATTTGTAATATATATATTTATTTATTTTTTTTTCAGGGTACGACTTTCCCAGCCTTGAACTCTCTCCTAGCCCAATGGGCACCGCCTTTAGAAAGATCCAAATTGGGTTCTTTGGTGTTTGGTGGAGCCCAATTCGGAACAATTGTTGGAAATGCCTTGAGTGGAGTTGTATTACATGCCACTGAAGACTGGAGAAGTGTTTTCTATCTCTTTGGAGGACTAGGAACTTTGTGGTTCATCATTTGGGTAAGAGACATAAAATAACAAAAAATTAGCAGAATGATGTGTTATTGAATTTATTTTTGATTTTTTCAGGTGATGATCTGTTACAACGACCCAGCATCTCATCCTTTCATAACTGATTCAGAAAAAGAGTACATTCAAGAAACTTTAAAATGCACATCTAGGGAAACTGATTTACCACCTACACCATGGAGAGCAATTTGGACATCTGTTCCATTGTGGGCACTTATTTGCGCCCAGGTAAATAATATACATTTTTCTTCCGAATATACATTTTTCTCATGATTTAGTTATTATTTCAACTTAAATTCTTAACCATTTATGAATTTTAAACCAAAATTTATAAGATCTTTCAAACTTAGCATATCGCATTTTGCTCCAGCTTCAACAATTTCTTAGTTTTGTTCTTGGTTTTAGTTTTTATTCTTGTACTAATGAAAAAGTATATTTTCTGTTATTTTCTAATTGTAGTATATTAATTGTATTTTTAAAACCTTTTGGAAGAAATCTGTGGGCTATATATTTAAAAAATAAAATAAAATAATATATTTCTATTATTTTTTAGATTGGACACGATTGGGGTTTCTTCACAATGGTAACAGATCTCCCGAAATACATGAACGATATTTTGAAGTTCAACATTTCTGAAAATGGGTAAGTTTGCAAATGCAAAATTAGTTCATTTATGATGATGTGGTGGTTACTAAATTTTGATTGATTTTTTCTCAGATTATATTCTGCTCTTCCATATGTAGTCATGTGGATCGTGTCGATTTTATCTGCAATTTGGTGCGATTATATGTTGAAGAGGGAAATGTTGAGTGTCACCAATGCTAGGAAATTATTCACAACGATAGGTAAAACACATCATATTACTAACTAAATATGTTTTTTATTTTAGTTAACATTATTTTTGGAATATTAATTAAATTTTTAATCTTTCAGCATCTGTTGGTCCAGCTTGTTTCATCATCGGAGCTTCATTTGCTGGTTGTGATAAAACTCTTGTGGTTGCCTTGTTCACCATTGGAATGGGTAAGAATAATTTTATTCATTCAATATATTTATTCGGATTTCTGTCAAATAGCCTGACATTACCTAATAATATTAATTTTATAATTTTAGGATTAATTTTATTTATTTATTTTTTTTATTTTAGGTTTCATGGGAACTTTCTACGCCGGTATGAAAATCAACGCATTAGATTTAAGTCCAAATTATGCCGGTACATTGATGGCCATCGTCAATGGTATTGGGGCACTTTCTGGAATTATCACTCCTTATCTGATAGAAGAGTTGACGCCAAATGTGAGTAGAAACAATTTTTAACATTAAATAATTATTAATATTTTATGATTTTTGATGATTACTAAGGTGTTTTTATTTGTGGTTCTATTTGGACCGAAATAATAGTAATAGGAAAAAATAAACATCAAAATCGTTAATGACAAACGAGTATTTTATTAAATTTTTCGGTCATTTTCATTAAAATATTGACAGAAACTCTTATAATAAGTCAAATTCGCATAATATAAATCCAATAATCTCATGTTATTTAAATTTTAAACATTTAAGTTAAATTTAGTGATTGAATGTATAAAATCCAATTACTAAATGTATGGTATTTATAAAAGTAATTTTCTACATACTTTATCTACATACAAATAATTTTCATCTTTTGTTTATATTTTCTTTATATTTTTAATTGTTACTTTTTTTTCTAGCTTTTAATTTTTTTTTTAATTTTACTTCTTTACTTTACATAATATATATTTACATTAGACTAATTTTAAGAAAGAAAACCAAATTAGTAAGTTGTGAAAAAAGTAACAACTTTTCAATTTTTTAATATTCTTTTTTCAGAAGTGTATAATTTTTAAGTTAACATTTCTAAGTTTATATTATTTTTATATTTGTTCTATATTTATTATTTTATTTATTCTATATATAGGGTAAGTTTTCTTGAGTCGTACCCCCTAAGAAAATGGCGCTGCGATTAAATTAATAGAAAAAAATCAACTTTTCTTAAATATTTATTTATTTGGCTTGTGATTACTGAAATTTCAATTTAATTATTGGTACGAGGGGCAATTAGTCGCCTTTGTCGTACCACTTATAGCCAAATTCGTGCCTTTAGTAAAAACTATATAGAATTCAATCTGAAATCAAATTTTTGCGGTTATTAATTACCAAGTCGAACAAATTTATTAAAACAATACCTAAATAAATAATCTCAAAATAATTAGTGTTCCTTAAAAATTATTAAGACTGTGGGTGCTAAAAATGGGTCAAGGAAACTGTTCATGAAATTACAGATTTGACAGTTATACTCACTTGGTATTTTTCAAGCACAAACTTTGCAAAATTGTAATTATCCTATAGGATTTTGCATTGATCAGAAGAAGATATCTAAAACTTATTTTTAAACCAATAAAAAATCGTAATTTTATACAGGTACGAATTCGAAGTTTTTAAATGAAACAAATTACAGAGCTTAAAAAATTCTACTATTTAAATATGCCAAAAAATCTAATATAAATAAACTTTTGTAAGGAAAACAAGGTCAGGATTGAGTCAATAATATTAGTAGAAACTTTACAAAGAGGTTGCTTTTTAATTATTTCTATTTCACAAATCCCTAATTGTAAACGTCCTTCAAAAGACTACTAATTGTAAACTTAGGTTATGTAATTTATAATTATCATACAAAATATTACCGAGGTACGACTTAGGCAACTTTACCCTATCATTAACTATTCTATTTTTTTTAGTTCTTTCTAATCTTTTTTCTTTCTCTTCCTCCTCAACAGCACTCTTTGGTAGAATGGCGAGTTGTCTTCTGGATCGCCTTCGGAGTCTTCAACGTGACCAACTTAGTTTATATATTATTCGCATCGGCGGAAACCCAATGGTGGAACGATCCTCTTAAAAACAATCCGAAAATGGACGTAGAAAAAGAACAACATAAAATAGAGGATTTTAATGCGAAAAAAATTAGCCAATAATAATTTAAATCTAGTAAGCAAAAATTAGGTTCAAATAAAACATACTATGGGGAAAGAGATCTAGAGTCGGTGAAAAAAGAAGAAAGAAACGATAACTTTGAGACGATTGCGGTAATGAGGACTCAGATGGATTATTTTATTACTTTTATTAGTTTTAAAATGAGATATAAAGATAAGCTTTAAACGGATTTTTTATAATACTTTTATATATCCATTACCTGAGGCAATCGATTTATACAATTTTTGGATCTATGCGCTGGTGTTCTCACTTTTTCGATTTTTTCAACAATTTTGTGTGAGATATAAGGATCGTATGCTTTTTACATATGCTGTACAAAATCTCCCAAACTATGTGTATGAAGATATTCTTATATTATTAGCACATTTCAAAAATTTCAAATTCTTAGCAAAGATTACATTTTTTAACATGGTCAATTCTTCATAGCTTAAAAGCTCAAAGCTCCTGATTTTTCTTACGAATAATTTTAATTATTTGATTTCGATTTAAAATCTAAATAAAATTTCGATCTAAAATCAAAATCAAATAATTGAAATTATTTATAACATAATAATTTTGATAATCCCAAAAATATAACAAATAATTTTTCTTACACATCCATCGATTTATATATTGTAATTTGACTATTATTTTGCTGTTTCAATTAATGAAATAATAGATTATTTTTAAATATTTTTGATACAAAATTAATGAAAAAGTTGCTAATAAAATTATGAAAAGTAATTTTTTGCTGCTCTAAATGTCTGTGACTGGAAGTGATATTTTAATAATAATGTGGAATGATCGAGTGATAATTTTTTATAACATTTATAGCTTTAAATTAATTATTTGTATTAAAACATTAGATGCAAAAAGTACTAAATATAAGAGAAATTAGTATAATGTTAAGGAAGAAACGTGAAATTTAATTAAATTTATGAATACTACAAAAATAAAAAAAAATACCACTAAAAATTCCCGGATATAACGTTTCTTGATATTAAATCTGTTCTATTATTAATTTTATACGCAAAAACACCGGATTTCTTAATACTAGTAGTTTTTCAAAAAAATATATGAATTTCGTGGCTCATGCAAAATGTCGTTAATAACAAAATTAACTAATTAAATGAAACAAATTAATTTTACTCATTTATTTAGCTTTTTTTCTTTTCCAAGTTACAGTTTTTATAAAACAATTTTTATACTTATTTTTAAAGTATTTTTAAATACGTTGCACAATATGATATTCTCAAATTTTAATATTATTTTAAATTAACAGGCAAGCAAACAATTAGTTGTATAATAATTAATTCTCGTTATTTGTTAATAATATATTAAATTTTATTAATTTCATCAATGGTTTATAAATATTATTTACATTTTTTTTAAGTTTTGGCGACTAATTACAAGATTTAATACTAATTTAATTGCATAAATAATGTGTCTTCATATTTTGTTAATAAAAAATAAAATCTGCTAAAAAAAATTGCTTTAATGATGTATAAATAATTATAGCTATCGCATAGCTAAAATCGTTAGTATAAAATTATATTTATAATTTTAATAATTATATTTATAACTAGTATAATTAAATTAATTTTAATTAACGATCTTGATTAGATCGCTATTTACTGAATACATTGTACAAGTATTCACGACAAATTCGGCAATATTAAATTATTTTTATAATATTTTTAGTGTTAAAAATTGTATAATGCTAGTTATAGTTCGATATTTTATTTAGGATGTAGAATATTTACGTATAAAAATATTTATGTATAAGATTTTGAAGAAATAAATAATTTTACGTTTGTTAATAATTTATTTAAAATTGCAATTATAATTATAACTTTTTTCAATTAACGAGTATTGGAATGCCAAATCATTCACAAGTATATTTAATATTATATTTGTCAATAATTTTACGAAATATCTTCTTAATCTTGATCTTTTTTTTAAATTTTCATAAGCTTAGTTTATTATTTGAAAATTTTATGACATACGAAAACGTCAAATTAGCATTTGGTTTTTGATCAAAATTAAAAATAATATAAATTATGCACAATGAACAAATCAATACACCAATGGTTAATGAAAGGTACAATTTAAATTCACAATATTTGTAAAATTGTACATATTTAAAAAAAACGTATACTAAATAATTTGTTCAGCATTAAAAAATAGAATGTTTGCAAACTAATATTGTAAAATTATATAATACATATCATAAAAAAATTTCATAATCTCTCATACCAGATACCCCTGTCTGACTGAGATATGAAAATAATATATAAATAAATAGAAAAAAAAAGATTTTTGAAAAATTTGATACTTTTGACTTGATACTAGACTAATACAAAATGGATGATAGTAGAATACTTGAATTCTATGTATCACTAATTTTCATTTAAAAAAATAAATAATTAAAAGAGCTCGTCAGATCGATGTTTATTATATATAATTTTATATTCAAAAAAAATCTTATATTTGATAATTATATTTGTGTGTATTTTTTGTACAGCCGTTATTTAAGCAATTATTTAATTCTGATTTGGTGTGACTTTATTCGATTAATGATTGATCATTGATTTAATGAGTTTTCTGTGTTATTACGATTATTTATTATTAAATAGTTTTATTTACGAAGTAAGTTTTCAACCCGGCCAGCTCGATATCAAGCAGTATGGTATCTAATTACTTCTCCTGATTTTATAAATCTCAATGTGATCAGAATAAGTGAAAAACAGGATTTGTGGCAACTCATACAAGCCCATTCTATTAGATATGCATATTTAAAAGCCGATTCTGCCGTAAATTAGACCAATGTTATGGCAAAACTATGTAGCGTTTTTCATATAAAATGGTACTGAAAACTGTCGTAATGCTATATTGTTGCTGTGAAAACAGGCGTTCTTAACAGAAAACCTAACTTAGAAAACGCACAAATTACAGAGAAAAAATCTTATCATAACTGCATCTTTCTGATGTGTTATAATAACATATGGGTGAAGTTACATTTTATGTTAAATGCCTGATCGCACAGCAAATAGCATTTTGACAGTTTTTAGTACTATTTCATATAAGAAATGCTTGGGGGCATAATCAGCCTCTTAACGTAAAGGAAAGTGGACGACCACGGGGTTGCTGTCTTCAGAAAATTTTGAGCAGTTAGAAGGTTTAGGTAAAAAACCTAACCTGGAAAATGCACAAATGTCAAAAAAAATGTGTCTTAAGTGCATCTTTATGATGTGCCATAATAGCATATGAGTGAAGTTGCATTAATGTGTAATACGCCTGATCGCACAGCAAATACATAGCATTTTGACAGTTTTTAGTACTATTTTGTATAAGAAACGCCAAGGGGTGAAATCGTCTTCTTAATGTTATAGTCTATATATGAAAAGAAGAGTGGTCGACCACTGGGTTGCCATTCTGGTATAGAATGTCGATAAAAATATAGAAACAAAAACTTTTCAATATAAATATGTTTTTGCTATTTTTTTTTTAGTATGTCCTGTCCAGCAGCACATGTTGATTGTGGCAATGTGTTTTTTTGCGATGTTAGTAAGTCATGGAATGAGGACTGTTTTTAGTGTTTCTATGAACGAAATGAAACTTAGAAAGTAAGAAATAGTTAATAACTAACTGTAATTCTATTTCTTTAATCTTATCACAGATTTCAAATTAAAAAAATAAATTTTACTTCTCTATATTTGTTCATGAGCCAGCTGAAATTATTGATGAAAAATGTTATTTCTATCGATTTAATAACATAGGAAAGTATTTATATGAAAATATGAGAAAGTCATCCTATTTCTATTGATACATTTATATATATAAAATTAATAAAATAATTATTTTAGCGATATTGAAAATTACATCGATGATGACGGAGAAATAAACTGTCCGAGGCCGCCGAATAATACAATGAACATTACTATGGTAAATATATTATCATCTTGGATAAATTAGTATTCTTACCTTTGCCAATAAGAAGTTCATGTAATCGCCAAAAAAAACTATTTATTAATTTTATTTTTTTAAGTCATTCTGATCATTTGACTTCTAAATTTCAGGAATCCTTTTTCGACTGGGACGCCACCCAACGCCTAAACTTAGGTCGAGCCTTCTACTTATCCTATCTTGTGGGTCACATAACGTGTGGAATGCTCTCGGACTATTTTGGTGGTAAACAAATAATGGGCTATGGTGTTTTGATATCGGCTATGACTACTTTTGTGACTCCTCAGATGTTACATCAATGGGGATATAATGGATTTGTGGCTTCGAGAGTTTTTGTTGGACTATTTCAGGTCAGATAATCATAAGAACTTTGGTCTTGATGCCACAGATTTCTCATCGCAAATGTTAACGAAATTGATGAAATATTTTAGTATTTTTTTTTCTCAAACTAGGTTAAAATTCTTATGTTTTTTTTGCTGGAACTTTACATATAAAACTTTTATATATACAGTATTTATAATTCACATGTAAGTCCTTTTTAAACGATGGTAGTAATATAGATCTAATAATATATAATTTCAAGTGAACTTAACCATTTGTGACATTGTTGCGATATCGATTTTAAATCACAAATGCAAATACCTATTTATCATCTCATCTCGCCAAGACTGGGTTCTCAACTTTTTATTCTATAACAGGCGATAAAAGTAGAATTAATTTTTGCTTTATTGTTTTTCTTTTTAGGGAAGTATAAATCCATCTTGTGCCACATTATTAGCTCATTGGATACCTAGAAGTAAAAGATGTCGTTTGGCCACAATAATATTTTCTGCAGGACATCTAGGAACTGGAATAGGATATTCTGCAACAAATCTTGGCTTGGGCTCTGGTTGGACAGTTCTTTTATTTATTTGGCGGCTTGGGAATAGCTTGGTTTCCTTTTTGGGTAAGCAATAGTAAAGAAAAATTGTAACTGAACTCACTAGGAAATAAGTTGATTTGAAATGAAAACAAACAT